GGAACATAGAAATAATCATATGTGGATTAAATTTGGGGGGCTGTCACACCTGGTGATGATCAGCGCTTACTCCTGGGTTTGCTCTCAGGGAACATTCCAGGTAGGCACTGGAGATCATAGGGGATATCAAGGATTGAACCCCTGTCGGCCTCGTGTGAGACAAATGCCCTACCACCTGTACTATTGCTCAAGCCCCTTAAAATTTTTAAGTAGTTATTGCACTTTCACTATTGTTAACTTCTGGTCAAACAATTCAAGACCATTTAATTTAATTTACATGCACAACACATACTTGGAGCATCACGTTGTAAGCAAGTCGTTACATGGGCATCTTCTTGCTCATGCATACTGGACTTCCCAGAGTGCACATCAGACTCTCCTGCCAACTCTTGCCAGATAAACCCCACCCAAAACCATGACTCTTCATTGGTCATAAATTAAGTTTTGTGCGTTTATTTGAAAAATAAATTAACCAGTATAACTTAAATTATGTTATAAAAAGATCAAATATGTACGAACGAGCTCTCAAAAGTTTATTCTTTTCTTTATTTCTGCTTTCACCACTCTCCTAGTTTTGTTCAGTGCATTCTAGTTGCACCCCACTCATCATCATTCCCGCACTTCCTGAAGAAGGTGTTGCCTCCTTTGAGAAGCCTTAATCAATCTGTGGCTGAAAGTGGGATAATGGTATTCCTTACTACTGAATGACTATACAATTTTTTTCTTTGAGATCTGTTAGCACTTGGTTACTATGTGCTCTGATTATTATGTGCTCTGATGTTCATTATTATTATCCATAATTTTTATATCTTCATTGGAGTTAAGCTCTTTATCTGTGAATAATAATAATTTTATTTTTCTTTTATTACCATTTTTTTGCTTAAGGTATGTTTTGTCTGGTAAAACTATTTTCCTTTTGATTTTCATATACATGGAATAGTTTTTTTCATATTTACTTTGAGCCTATTTGCACTTAAAGCTAAAGTGGGTCTCTGCTATCACTATCACTATCACCCTGTTGTTCATCGATTTGCTCAAGCGGGTGCCAGTAACGTCTCCATTCGTCCCTACATGTGCTAGTGTAGCCTGATGGCATATTGGGGGCTCTTTTAGGCTCAGGGGAATGAGGACCATCATTGTTATTGTTTTTGATATATCGAGTATGCCACGGGTAGCTTGACAGGCTCCGCTGTGTGGTTGGGATACTCTCGGTAGCTTGCCGGCCTCTCCGTGAGGGATGGAGGCTTTGGGGGCAGCCTCTAATCACCTTTTTAGGTGTTTCTAGTCAGGCATATATGCAGGCAAGATACTCTTGGTAGCCTGCCTGGTTGTCTGAGAGAAAGAACTAGAAAATAAGAGGTCTAGCACTTCCAGGAGCTTGGTTTTATAATTTCTGTATCTTGGCCACTGATGGGGTTACACAGCAGTTGGCGGGTATAACTGTCTAGCTATTGGAAGATGGGGGATCTGGGTGGAGGAGGCCCAGTCCTGATCTGAGCAGGCTTGGAGATCTCAGCCCTGGGTCTTGCACACCTGGGTTCCTCTGCCGGTTCCCTCATGTGTGAGGCTTGCTCTAGCATGTGGAGAGTGGTTTCAGCATGGCGGTGGCTGGGTCCCAGAGGTCTTCAGCTGCCGGGACTCTGCTCAGAGTGGAGAGGGAAACTCAACCTGCCCCCCTCTAAGGCCTTTTTAATCAGAGAATTCAATACATTTACACTTAAAGTAATTTTTGACATGTTAGAACTTACTAGTGCCATCTTAGTGTTTTCTGTTTTGTAGTTCTCTGATTCTGTTTTTTTTTTACCTTATTGCTGCATCTTTTTTGTAAATTGGTGATTTTCTATCATAGTATGCTTTGATTTCTTGTCTTAATTTATCTGTACACTATGCACAATAGTATATTGTAGAGTGACTGTAGTACTGTAGCACTGTCCTTCCATTGTTCATCGATTTGCTTGAGCGGGCACCAGTAACATCTCCATTGTGAGACTTGTTACTGTTTTTGGCATATGGAATGCATCACGAGGACCTTGCCAGGCTTTGCCATGCAGGCAGAATACTCTCAGTAGCTTGCTGGGCTCTCCGAGAGTGGCAGAGGAATCAAACCTGGGTCGGCTGCATGCAAGGCAAATGCCCTACCCGTTATGCTATCGCTCTGGTCCCATAGAGTGACATAGATTGACTACTATGAATTTTTGTTATGGGATTACCACAGGGCTTACATATATAAAACAAGTGATTTAATGTTGAGAACAACTTAATTTTGATTGCAAGCAAAAGTCACCCTTAATTTCACTTTTCATGTTTTAATGATAAAAATTTTATTTTTTATTGTGTACTTAATTATAAATATAGTAGTGTCAATAGTCATTTTGCAGGTCTCACAAGCAGTGCTCAGGAGCCCTGCTGAGCAGGGTGGTTCAATTCAGGGCCCAAAATACTTTGCTACTATGGCCCTGCAGTGCTCCGGGATTATCTGATCCATCCCACTTATACTTGAAGACATCCAGATTCCCAATTCATCGTGATGCTTTGAGTGACCATGTGGTATTGTCTCTAATTTAAGGTAGCTGCTTATTCTTTAATTTTTAATCACTACTTCGATATTTATCAGTATTTTCTCAAACTTTCTGTACATTTACTTGACCCATGCTTTTTTCCCATTATGGCAGAATTCTTTAGCTTCTGTGTATTCTCTTTATCTTACAGCACAGCATGGATGCTGCTGGAAGGGTCTCTTTGACTTTCCTGAAGTAACATGACAGGTCCCCTTTGTGGTTGCTCTTTCCCCTGTGTACATTAGGCTGCTTTTTGTGCATGCTTCCTGTCTACTGAGCTTGCTCTTGTCACTGTTGTCAGAGGTATACACAGGAAGCCAGTACAATAGTTGAAGACAATGTGGGCTGTGCATGATGACTCTGCAGGCTAGGTGGAGGATACTTTGGCTACTTCCCTACTCCATGATTCATGACTAAGTTGCATAAGGGGGTTTAAAATGCAGTCAGCAGAAGGCATGCACCTTTAATGTTCTTGGAATCATAAATGCCACTTTTCCAATGACCTTCCTGTTTGAAGTCCTGAAATTCCAATTTAATACACTAAATTCTGTGAGAGATAAATAAGCTCTCCCAAATAGAATAGGAAGCCATTTAACTATTCAGTAATTCATTTGCTAACCAGCTCTTGAACTCCAATAAATCACAGGTATTCTCATTTATGATTCTGTTTGTTTTGACCACATCTAGCTGTGCTCAGATATCACTCCTAGCAGTGCTTAGAGGACCATATGTAGTGACAGGAATTGCACCAAGGCCAGTTGCATGACCCTTAACCATTGTACTCTCGCTCTAACCAAGAGGCAGTCTTATTTATCTGTGTTTGCTGCCTATGTCTTTGAACTTAACTCTAGCCTTCATTACTATAAAGGGATTATATTAGAAATAGCCCTTGTCTCTTGGTATGTTTTTCTCAACCCAAGTACCTCCACACCAATAATAAATAATTATATCTCTATTATTTTTTAGGTTTTAATTGTGATAAGTCTCCTCCTTGGGTAGGGGGCATTGCGATATTCTTCATTTCATTCTTTATAATCGTTGGATATAGTATACATATGAATAACGGAGGTATGTGATATCAAAAATGTGAGGATCTTCTGCAAATTGTGTCCTTTTTCAATTATAGTCTCTTGATAAAATATTCAGCCAAATAATATATATATGTTTACTTGAATTTTGAATATTAATAATACAAAGTTATTCATCTGCCTGCCAGAGAAAGAAAAAATACTTTCGGTCCAGTACTTTGTGTGTGTGTGTGTGTGTGTGTGTGTGTGCGCGCGCGCGTGCGCATGTGCACTCGTGCCAAAAATCCAGATATCTCCTCCTAATCAAATATACCAATTCTTCACATACATTAAGCACAGAGGAAGCAAAATTTCAGTATATCTTAAACTTGGAGTATCAGACTTAGAAAGCAATGCACAGCAGAGAAACACTTTTCAAAACGACCCAGTCTACACATATAACATTGCCAATTCCACAGTGTTCGTGACCACCTGGAAATAATTCTCTTTTTTAGCTCTTTTTAGGGATGTCACAAAAGTGTTAATTATAAAAGTTCTGGGATATCTGAATCCAACCTATTTGAAATGTGCCCTCAGCACTATTTTTGCGGTTCCCATGAACATTATATAAACAAAGCAATGATTAGTACAGTAAAGAGTATTTTTGTTTTTTGCTGTACTGATGAATGAACTCTGAGCCATCACTGACAATACCCCTATCCATAGTATAATATTTACTTATTAATAATTTCAGTTACTTATTTATTACAAGCTGTAATGCCCTCACTCCTGTACAACTCCCATCTGAATTTTGGGCTGGAGCAATAGCACAGCAGGTAGGGAGTTTGCCTTGCATGCACCTGACCCGGGTTTGATTCCTTCATCCCTCTCGGAGAACCCGGCAATTTGCTGAGAGTATCCAGCCCTCATGGTAGAGCCTGGCAAGGTACCAGTACCGTATTTGATATGCCAAAAACAGTAACAAGAAGTCTCACAACGGAGACGTTACTGGAGCAAATCAATAAACAGGAGGACAGTGCTACAGTGCTCCAGTGCTACTTCCATCACAGAGATCCTGTCGATTCTATATGGCTTTGCTTCTTCAAGAAGCTTCAAGAAACCTGTAGCACCAGATAAAGAAGACAAATGCATAATGTGTTCATCTGTCCTTCAGACTCTCAGCACCAAAAGCAAGTGTCCTATTTCTGGAATGAAAGGTTGGGTATCTTGCGCTTTGCAACCACCTTATAACTTTACCCCAAATACACTCAGTTCCAGGATCATTCACTTTCTACATAGCCCAGCCTACTACTCCTTGACTCTTACAGGAATCCAGAATACGAATCAATAGGACCTTGAAAAGTAAATCAGTTAGTAATCTGTAATCATTCTCCTTTTTCTTGCTATGACACTGCTTTTCCTGTACTTTCTACAGTTCCTACTTCAGTACCATATACACAAATGGAAAATATGTTGCTGGAAGATTTAACTGTGATCCTGTATATTCTGATAGTCTTCATTACCATGATTATTTCCTTCATTTACTTTAAAATCAGAGGTAAGAGGAATGAGAAGTGTGGTGATTCAGAAGTCATTATACCTCTCACTGATATTCAACTTCCAAAGGAGTCACCTTTCCTGTCATTGTGAATTAGTAGAGAGAGAAAGAAACCAACCCATGTCCTGCATGAGACTATCTTCACCTTCATGAAGCTCCAGGGTTTCTGCAGTTATGAGTTAGGGCTATGTCTCAAATTCAAGAAACAGTCTCACTGATGACTTCACAACTGTGACAACTCTCAAGTAAACTTGAATACTTGGCTCTTTAATTAAGAAGCAGTCAGTAATTTATTAAGCTTTTCCAAAGCTAAGGTGCTTCCTTCTATTTTGATCTCAAATTCAATATAAAAATACACTATTAGAGTTTTCTCTTTCAGATATTTGTAAGTGTCCATAGTATATAGGAAAGAAACATTTCTGAAGCTATGCTCACAAGAGGGCATGCATATGACTCATGTCCATAGATGAAACTCCTTGATTTATTGCGCAAATTTACTTTCCTTATTAAAATGAGAAGTGGAGAAATTATGATTCAGAAATAAGCATTTTAATATTTGATTGTCACATTCTACCAGAAATTCACGATCTAAGAAATTTAATTAAAAAAAAACTCCGTTCTAGAAATCTTACTTTTAGTTCTTGGAAACCTTTCAATTTAAATTTTCAATAATGATTAAAATTCTTTTCTTTTAAAACCAGATTTGCCAATGCTTTGAGCTGAGAAAGGTTCTCAGAAACTGATTCTACTTTTAAACATTTTTCTTTAAAATGTGATATTGGGTGTCAACTTTCACATAGCTCTGAGCACTGTTAACAATGTTGGAAAGTATTTTGAGGGATCCATAGAAAGTTTAACTTTATGAACTTGACATGATGTACTTCTTTTTGATTCACTGTCACTGTCACTGTCACCGTCCTCCATTGTTCATTGATTTGTTTGAGTGGGCCAGTAACGTCACCATTGTGAGACTTATTGTTACTGTGTTGGCATATCCAATACAACACGGATAGTTTGCCAGGCTTTACCGTGCGGGCTAGATACTCTTGGTAGCTTGCTGGGCTCTCCAAGAGGGGTGGAGGAATCGAACCCGGGTTGACTGGTTGGCCTCGTGCAAGGCAAATGCCCTACCGCTGTGCTATTGCTCCATTGTTATCCAGCTTTTTGATTCAGAAAATAAAATAGAATTTTTCAGAGTAAAAAACTTCACAAAATACAACAGTATGTTTTGGTAATTGATTACAACAATAGGCACTTGCATACAGCTGAACCTGTTTCAGTCTTCTCACTACATATGGTCCCCCAAGTACTATCAAGCATTATTACTGAGCACAGAGTCAGAAGTAAGCCCTGCACTGCTGTGTATAGTTCAATCTCCACTCAAATAGAAAATCACTGTCACTGTCCTCCCATTTTTCATCGATTTGCTCAAGCGGGCCCATATAACGTCTCCATTCTGACACTTGTTACTGTTTGGCATATTGAATACCTCACGGGTAGTTTACCAGGCTTTGCCATGCCAGCGGGTTACTCTCGGTAGCTGGCTGGGCTCTCCAAGAGTGGCGGAGGACTTGAACCCTGCTTGGCCGGGCTGTGTGCAAGGCAAACGCCCTACCCACTGTACTATTGCTCCAGCCCAAATATAAAATAAAAATAAAAACTGGATAGACATACGTACACTACTGATTACAAGAAAGCTTCCATCCCATGGAGAAAACGCAATTCCGTGGTGAGTTATGGAAAATCATTATCACTGCACTGTCCTCCAGTTGTTCAATGATTTGCTCGAGCAGACACAGTAACGTCTCCATTGTGACACTTGTTAGTGTGTTTGACATATTGAATACGTCACAGGTAGCTTGCTAAGCTTTGCCCTGAGGGCGAGATACTCTTGGTAGCTTGCTGGCTCTCTGAGAGGGGCGGAGGAATCGAACCTGGTTGGCGGGCCGGCTACGCCTAAGGTAAATGCCCTACCACTGTGCTTTTCTACCTACTTTATTGTTTTATTATTTTATTCATTGACACTTGGTTTTCTTTGTGCTTCCTATGAAGAGCTGCCAGGTATTGAGGTGGTCAATTTGGGCAAACAAAACTGAAAAGTAACAGTCAAGCTTATATCCCTTATTGTTAGGGAATAAGAGGCCAAAAGAGAGAGTAATGCAGGCTCCTCAGAGTTCTGCTTTTTTTCACACACTATCTTTGGGCTAGAGTCAAGAGACATGCAGCAGAGGTTGGGTTAATTGTGCCTTACTAAAATGACACTTATCATTTTATGATCAAGGTCAGGAAGGGGACAGAAAAAAAATGGAAAAGTAGAGACAGAAAAAAATATTTTAGTCTATCTTCTCCTTCCCTCCTAAGACGAAAGGGCTAAGCATTAATGACTGAAAAGCATCTCAGCTGAATACCTTATTAGGGCGACCTTTAAAGAGTAGTACCTGGACAAGGAAAGCCAGAAATGCACATGAGAAAGTCGTCCTGGAGTCCTTGAGTACAACTACCTCTAAACTCTGGTAGGCATTGGATGTAGACCAAGTCTTGTGTTGAATAGACAGTTTCCACTTCAGAGGACCTGCTGGGTAAAGACTGTCATTCTCTATGCTTAGACATAGGGATCAATACATAGGACTTAGGCTTTGCATCACTGTCATCATTACCTATTCCAATGTTTAGAAATAACTCACCCCATTGAGATTAAACAAATGTAAAAGACAAGTATGTGCTTTGTAAAAACAAATTTATACTACTCATGCCTAATTTTGGCTACCAAGTAAAGCAACTTTATCACTTTCATCGTATCCATAGCTGTGAAATTAATGGTAGGGAGAAATAACAACAAGCCTATAGCCAGGTACTTCCATTTATGATCTGTAGCACTGTCTGTAGCACTGTCCTCGCGTTGTTCATTGATTTGCTTGAGCGGGCACCAGTAATGTCTACATTGTGAAACTTGTTATGTTTCTGGCTTATCAAATATGTCACAGGTAATTTGCCAGGCTTTGCCATGCAGGTGGGATACTCTTGGTAGCTTGCCAGAGTCTCCAAGAGGGATGGAGTAATCAGACCTGGGTCGGCCGCGTGCAAGGCAAACACCCTATCTGCTGTGCTATTGCTCCAGCCCTTCATTTCCATTTATGATAGTCACATTTATATATTGATCTATAGGAACTAAGAGAGACAGTCAAAGGGAAACTTAGCTCTCTCACAATGAAGCTGACCAGAAAAGCTGAGAAACAGGTCCTATTTTCATTTACATGAGGTTGCAAGATTATTTCTTGATTGTGTTGCTTAGTATCCCATAAAGATCATAAAAGAGTTGTTGTAATCAGCCAAAGATCTTAGCAATTAATTTTTAAATTTTTCTCAATTATATGAACATAAAATCTGATGATGCATTAATTGATTTAGATTAAGGATTATATGAAAGTGTGAACTGAAATGACCCCAATTCATTCTTTGTATATTTGCATACTGCTAATATGGCATTGCTAATGTTATTATTTTATAGTAAAAACCTCAGGACAACATGGCCAAAATTGAAAAAATAGTCAATATATAAATGTAAATCACTCCTATAATGAAGTCTATTTTATGTGAAAAGGACAAAATCATTTTTCAAATACATAAACTACAATTTTTCTTAAAATTGTCTGTAGTTCTCCCAACTTTCTGTTGGGGTTGTTCTTCTTCCAGCTACTTACATTGTACCACTTCACTGAAGGAATTTAACTTTTTTCATATCGAATATTTCAGTTCCACATCTCATATTCCACAGTTTTTCAGGTCTCAGCTCCTTTTCCCATAAGAGGCCACCAGAAGATGTACAAGAATACTAAGAAAAACTTGAAAAGAAATATGTAGATCCACTATAACACTGTATCTTTGATGTTCCTGTGACACAAGCATCAGTTTGGTTACATCACATTTTTTTCAAGTAAAGAAATACAACAGATATTGACTTAGGGTATCAGAGTTATAAGATTGCAAAGAAAGAGAAAGATAAAAAGAGAGACAACATAATTTTGATTACAGTTTCATCTGGCCATCCATTTATTTCTGTTGCAGATATAATATACAAATAAAATTCAGATATTTTCTGAAGTGCTTTTATTCTTTGCAGGCCCACTCTCTGAAGAAGCTTTCCTTTCATTGACTTAGACAAGCTAATTCAAGTTAATGAATTCTAAGTAAAAGTTTTTTTCTCCTGACTTCCAAAGATGTCTTTTATATCTGAGAAAATCAGCTTGTTCTCAAATACGTTACCATTACAACTATTTTGCTTTAGTAATATTTATAATGAATTATAAATGAATTTATAATGCCTGAAAACATTTTCTTTCCTTGACAGAGTTACTAAAAATGTAAGGAATTGAAAAGGCATCCAAATCTCTTCTGGAATTCTTGATAAACAACATTGGAACAACATGCTAAGATCTCAGGATAAAAGAGCTGATATCCCACAATTCTACAGACAATCAATAATTCCCATATGGGATGGGAAATGCGTGCTGAAAGTAGACTGTAGACTGAACCTGATGACCACTTAATACCTGCATTGCAAACTACAACACCCTAAAGGAGAGAAAGAGTAAAAGGGAATGTGCCTGCCACAGAGGGTTGGGGGAGGAGGGAGGGGGGAGAGGGACACTTGGAACACTGGTGTTAGTGAATGGTCACTGGTGGAGGGATAGGCTCACAATCATTTTATGACTGAAATGTAAACACAGAAGTTTGTAAGTCTGTAACTGTACCTCACGGTGTTTCATTAAAAAAATCATAAAAATTTTAAAAAATTAAATTAATTCCCATATGGAGTGCAAATAAAATATATTTGTATATTCAATTTGCATCCATTTTTAGTTCTTAGATTTATATCAGTAATTTAATGTCATAGCTATAGATGATGTCATAATATCATATCTATTAGAAATTAAGAATGTCAATGAGAAGACAGTGATGCTTAAGTCCGATGCTTAAGAAAGTTGATTAAATCATCGTGAAAGAGAAGTTTAAAACACAGGGATGCAAAAGTCAAACTTATGTTACTTATAGCCCAAAATGGAAAATATATTAACATAATAAAAGTATCATTTAAAAGAAATTAGTAGGAATAGTTACTTACAAAATAAAGATAGAACATATATCAATTTTTTCTAAAATTTCTTGCAAAGTACATATATACTAGTTAGAAATTCTTAAATCTATGAAGAAAATGCAAATAAAATGTAAGGAAATGCAAATAAAATGTAAGGAAATGCAAATAAAATTATCTTCATGGTTTATCACAATTTTTCTGTCACAACTCTAATTACAAAAGGAAGAAAAGGTAAACTCACATGTAATCCTAAGGAAAACATGTAATAGCTTAGTTGTTGATGTTGGTGACTGATAACTTCCCATGGTAACCAATCTTGTTGGTCTTGTTGACTCACTTAATTCCTGTCATGCTGAACAAACATTTTCTCTGTTTGCTTATTTATATAATTTTATATGAATCTCTATGTCACAACTCTGATTAAAACTGGCACAATTACATATCAATTGCAGAAAGATTAGTTCTAGAGAAAAACAAGCTTATGAGGAAGAAAAAGAAGGAGGAGGAGGAGGAGGAGAGAACAGGGGAGGGGAGGAAAATGAGTGGAAGGAGAAAAGGGGAGAAGCATGGTTGCTAGAGGAAGGGAGAGGTGGGGAGGGAGAGGGAGGAGGGGGGCATGAGGA